GGAAGGCAGGTAGAGAGAGTATAGCGTAACCAGTGGTGTCAGAGCAGTGTGAACAGGATATTATCGAAGCAGAGGGTGTGAGAGGACTGAATCTGGCAGCAGAGTAGATTCTCGCTATGTGCTCATGAGAATCAAATGAGATAATAATATATGTGCTACAGGTTACAACTGGTGAGTTGCTATTCTCAGCTCACATAGACCTCTCTATGCAAAAATGCACGTTTATTCTACCACTGATACTCCACTTACCACCACTTCCACCCTACCCACTAGTCTTTCCCAGCTTGCAGGTGTCTCCATCTGTAAGAGACAGACAGTGGTGAAGAAAAGGGGTTGGGAGGAGTGTGCCCTTATGTGTAGTATATTTTCAATATTGGAACAGAATTGCAAATAACACTATACTTAAGAGTACTGTCAATCAGTGAACAGATAGCTAGTAGCAATGTGCTTTGGGGACACTTCTTTCTGAATCTAATGAGTTGTTGGTTTAACTGATGGCCTGTCTTTATCCAGGGCCATTAGCACATCAGTGCTGTTCATTGAGCAAAGTGAGAGTGTTGGCTTGTATTTATTTGCTTTGGTTCCTAGAACTAATTATTGGTGATTAAGTGTTCATTTTGTGCCCTCCTCTTTCTTCCAGTACCCAGAGAAGACAGATTTTTAGTGAAAATAGCATACTCTCAGCTTGGCTTATTTATTCGTATCACAAATTTTGGGGGGCACCTACTGTTTGCCAGGCACTGTTCTTGACAAAGATCCCCTTCATAGAGCTTATTTCTATACAGATGGTGGTCCCTGAATAGAGAGAGGCAGGGACGGACAATAAACATAGTGCATAAGTAACCCACATAATATATTAGAAGGTAAGAAGTGCTATGGAAAAAAGGAAAAGTAGAATCTGGTAAAAGGGAATCTCAAGAGTACATTAATAAGAGTGGGTAGGCCCATTGGTAAGGCATCCTGGGAATAGTCCTAAAGAATTATCACTTCCATACCAGCACAACCTACCAATAAAGTTTTTCTTTATTGGAGGTGTGCTGATGCTAATCTAACCAGTCACCAAACCCTCTGGAATCATATTGGCCAGGCCTGAAATGCCACCACCTTTTAATTGAGTTTGGATGAAGGGAAGGTAGAGGGGTAGCCCTTGATTCAAGACTAAAAGCAGAGAATCGTCATCTTTAGAATATTGGCAGTCCAAGTTCAAGGGAGAGATCCTGAAAGTAGTCTAATCATTTCATCCTTAACTGCTTTATTGCCTTTAGTGAGCACTTGCTTAATATGTTAAATCCTTAGGGACATAAAACAGAATAGTCTCTATTCTTAAGGAGACTAACTTCATGTGAACTTTTATTTATGTATGTATTTGTTATCTTATTTAATTTTGAATAGTACTATTTTATTTTAGTTTGAATAGAGAACACAGTGCTATAGAACAAAAATTTTAAAAGTCTATATGAGAACTTAATTTATAATTTATTTCTTCCTTTTATTTCCAAAAAGGGTTTGAGGTGACGTAAATTAAAATACAAATATAAATGTACACAGGAGAGTTAAACTGGATCAAGATCAGAAATCATATTGGTAAAAGGAAAGATAATTGTATCAGGATTGAACCAGAGATTCTCTTTTCCGAAAATAGGTTTATTGTTTTTGTAAAAATAATATAAAAGAAGAAAGTAGCAGTGAACTGAATTCCCTCTATCTAGAGACTGATCATTGTGTGTATGTGTAATTTTACAAAAATGGGACCATGCCACACTCACTGTAAATCAAATAATTAGTGAAATCAAGTATTAATTTAGATTGGAGTTCTCCAATGAGCATGGCAAACAAGGGACAGAGAGTTTGGTTCTTCAGGAGAGGGGAACTTTGTTCTGACATTCCTTCATATTATCACTTCATGCATCCAGTAATATTTTTCAAACTATACTGTGTCAGGTGCTGATGTGCCAGGCTATGAGGAGATTCAGATAATAAGCATTACAACCTTTGCCTTAAGCTTACTGGGACTGCTGACATCAAGGACATGAATAATGTGATGGCCATTGTCTTCAGTAGCCATTCTGCCAAAGATTAACCAACCTTCTAACTAGGAAAATCCTTTTGCCAGCACTCTCCATCCACAGTGTGCTCTCCATAAGCCTCATGCCACAGGCATTTATTTAACCTGAGACTGGGTGCCTCATTCTGTGTTGTACTCTGACCCAGTCCAGCTAAAGGCTAAGCCACAGGGTCCCAGGATGATCACTGTGAATTAGCATAGCCTTTACTGGCTCGTGCAAATATACCCAGCCTTGAGTTAAATTCAATTAGTTTTTATTTAAGGAGGAAAAGAAATCCAATTTTATCAAACATGGACAGACGGTGGAAGGCACTTTGATGTTACAACCTCTCAGTGATGCTTTACTTAGTCACAAGTTCATAAGCAAGAAGGCTTAATTACTTGGGAAAACACAGGATTAAAACTGGATACAATGGCTGAGTATCCGCTTTTGGGCGACTTGATTCGAACCCATGCACCCAGTTCGTGTGTGGTGCAAACTTTGATGTGCGCTATGGCAAGCTGAAAGTCATCACCCCCCTCAGGGAAGCTCCTTCATACGGCATTTGCAGGATGTATAGGCGGAGAGGCAGGGCCTGCCCAGGCCTGTTTGCTCAACTTTGATGTCCAAGCAGCCACAGGCTCCACTGTTTGCTCTTCCACTGAGGGATGGATTGGGAGCCTCCTACCTTTCCCAGTGGACAATGGCCAGCAATGGAGTGTGACGACTATTGACCATTCCAGGAGCCTGGCAGACCAGAACAGGGCTTTGGGAGGTGCAGAGCCTGGGAGGTCAAAAGCTGTTTATAGGAGAGCCATTTCTCCAGATGTAGCTTTCCTTAAAACCTAATGTTGGTTGGATGTTTATAGTGGAAGTAAAAATAGTCTCATGAGTTTTAGCAGGTACCAAGTGTATTGTTTGATCCTCTGTCCAGTAGCACTAGGTATTTGTAAATTGAAAGTTTAAGTCTTTCCTATTCCCTTTAACCATGTATATGCAGGGGATAGTGGTTTAGAAAGAAAATGGTATGATTTAGATCCTTATAATTTCTAATTCCTCAAAAAAGAAGCTGTCAAAAACACATTTGATAAAGGAATGATATCCAGAAGATATAAAGAACTCTTATAAATCAGTAAGAAAAGGACAAACAACTCAATTTTTTTTAATAGGCAAAAGATTTGTGCAGACACTAAAAAAAGAGATGGATGGTAAAGCACATGAAAAGATACTCAGCATTAGTCATTTAGGGAAATGCAAATTAAAATCATGAGATACCACTACATACCTATTAACTACAATGGCTAAAATTTAGAAAAATTGACAATACGAAGTGCTGACAAAGTTGCAGAACAAATTGTCATCATTGCTGATAGGAGTGCATGATGGTATAGCCACTTTGGAAAACACTTTGGCAGTTTCTTATAAAGGTAAAGGCAGTTTCTTACCTTACAACCCAGTAATACCAACTCCCAGGTACTTGTCCACAAGAAATAAAAACATACATCTACAGAAAGGCCTATATGTAAATATTTAAAGTAGCTTTATTCATAATCACCAAAAACTAGAAATCACCCATATATCCATCAACTGGTTAATGGGTGGACAAATTATGGTGCATCCATACATTGAACTACTATGCAGCAATAAAAAGAACAAACGACTCATACATGCAATACATGGACAAATCTTAAAAGCTTTGTGCTAACTTAAAGCCAGACACAAAAAGCTACCTACTTTAATTCCAATTATATGACAGTCTGGAAAAGAAGTAGTTTAGGGACGGAAATCAGGTAAGTGTTTAGGAGCGGGAGGAAGGGCCCAAAGTCTTTCCTATTGGGGTGATAAAAATATTCTAAGTCTTGCTTATGGTGGTGGCTATACAACCAAATCTCATCAAATTGTACATCTTAAAAGGGTGAATTTTACTATGATAATTGATACTTTACTAGACTGACTTATAAAAAAAACTTTTAAAAAGGTCATCCCTCTCTATTTTTCATTAATTGTGACTAGTGGCATACTGACAATACATGTTGTAGTGTCAAAATGAATTCTATTGTTTATGACCACCTGGAATTCTTACTGCTGTATCTCACATTAGAGTACTGTATGGTTTGATTGTTAAGAGAGAAGATTTGTGAATTCACACGATTCTTGGTGTCATGAAGTATAATTACTGATGAATAATGAAATGATAAATTCACTTTACACATGGTATAGAGTAGGCTTGTATAAATTCACAAAGCGTCATATGATTCTTCTTTATAGTAAGGAGAAAGTGCAGGGTACAGGACTGAAAGCTTCCTTCCCACCCCACATCATTCTTGGGCAACTTGTCCCTGGACTGCCAAACAGGGAGATCACCTAAACAGTGTGGCCATTATGGTACCTCAGGAACCAAACATCCCCAAAGAATGGGTGGCGGGAGATTCAGATTTGAGTCCACCTGGCCTTGCTGGTTGCTTTGAAAGCCCCTGCCTTAGAGAAGGTGAGACCGTGAGGCAGAGCAAAAAGCTCCAGCAGAACTGTTTGAAATTCCCCACATGAGTCTCCCTCCCTCCTCCTGCCTTTTCTCCCGAAGTGCATTTCATCAGCATCGGAAGAACTGCTTCCCGGCACTGCCTTCCCTGCTTGGCCAAGGTCCCTGAGGAGCTGAGCTAATGAGTGGATAACACGCATTTGCCAAGGCCTTCCTGGATGTGGTACCTGGGC